TGATACCCTTGCGAGTAGGGCCCGCTAGTACATTGGCGAACACAGGCCCGTAATGACGTTGCTACGGCACTGGGTGTATGGTGTAAGTAATTTATTCTGGTGATGTCCCAAATTGTTTTATTAAATGATTATCTAAGAATTCATTGAGCCTTTCGAGCTGACTTCCGGTTTGTCCATAAATACCGGTTAATTCTGAGTTCTGGAAAAATTTCGATTACAGGGTTTTCGACCAAATTTTGTAAGAAGGATCCCTGGTTTTCTCTTACTCCGACTGCCTACACCCGCAATCTTTTGAAAATACGCCTTCCGTATCCTATTATACCTTGAACCAAAGAGTACCCATAGTGGTTACTCTTTGCTTGAACATTGATTTCTGTTATGGCCTGGGTTCGCAACAAGCAAGCAATGGACTTGTGGTTCAGATGTGATATAAGTTGCCTAAACTAAGGCGCAAGGTGATACCAAAGAGTAACTAATAATTCTTTGGTGATATCTTGATAGAAAAAAGCTCGTATAAACAATAATTATTTATTCGACAACGTTCTACACAACGTGGATCCGTAGATAATTCAAATACAAAACATTCTGCTACCCTTCTTATTGCCCATTCGTGTAGATCTACTTCTTTCTACAGGTATAGGTATTTATATTTTGTTCAATGATTTCCTTATTCGTATAGGGTTGTTTGAATTATACGTCTGTAATGTACATTTACCCTACACTTGGTACTAAACTGCGTGGGATGTGGTTCACGAAGGAGAGCGTATAACATACAAAACGACCCTCCTTTTCAATAAACTTCTGGATTCGCAAACAAGCAACATGCACTAACATTATCTATACCTACACGGCAGTTTTCAGTTCAAGTCATACATACCGAAATATGTATACTTACCCATATAATTAACTTACTAGGATTCTCAAATTTAATCATCTTCCACACTCATTAATCCCTAAAAGATAAATTATAACGAGTGACAAATTTCGAGAGAGTTCAAATGAACATAATTATAATAAGTAATTAATAAATCGACGTTCCAATTAAGTAAGAGCACTTAATTAACTTACTAATCGGATCTGGAGCGCTCCAGTTCCATCTTCGGCGGCGCGAAACGCCCAGGGGATCGACAAAACACTATCAGAAAGCTCAAACTTTTTTAAAAGCTTATTATCGGATCCCCTCCGGCGAGGCTTTTATTTTTTCTCATGTTCTTAACACTTTTTAAAACTATATTATACTTTTTTATCCCGGAAAACGTTCAGAGATTTTTAAAATGTACCATTTTCATGTTTCTTTGCAGGGGAGGAGCACCGACGCGGACTCGATTCGGCAATTCGCAATTTAACATTGTTAAATGATTTCGAGATGGGCTTTGGGCCAACAAAACTATCGCCTTACTGCGAAATTGAAACTCGGAGAAGTTAACGTCGTCGATGTATCTAATAAAAATGTAGTGAAAGGTAAAATGTGGTTGGAATGAATAAAAGTAAGGAAAATATATATGTAGCCTGGGAACATTGTGGGAATTAAAAATCTGCTGTTTTCTCGGCTAGAGAAAGAGCGCTGAATTTTTCCCTTAAGCTCGAAGAAGAAAAAAGCAGAGCTACTTAAGAATTTAAAATTCTTTTAGGTGAAATCCTGCGAGTGTAGCACTTACAGAGGATGGAGTCGGATCTATGAAATGGCATTTTAAGTTGGATTAGGTTCAAATTTAAAACACTGCCAATAATACGCAGCCAAAAGGAATGAATACCGTCACAATTTTACGCCGTTTTATTTCTTTCAAATAAATTTTATCTTTAATCGCGTTTAAATAGAAATTAATTGAATTTCTGATAAAGTATAAACATTTAATTCCCTCTTCTAACCTGTCTCTTTTCGACTTTAGTTAATTAAAATCTAAACTCAATTAAGGGGAGTCTTTATACTGAAAGTTAAAGAGAAGCAATCAGCTCCTACTATAAACATAACTTTTTCCCTACTTCGCACATGTAGGGATTTAATACAATAGGTTATTGCTATTATACAGGGTGTCAAATTTAAAACTTGCAGTCGGCCATATTTTCCAAACTAAGAGGGTATTAAAAATCGCGCAAAACCGTTTCGGGGGATCGAGGGGGAACCAGAATGACAACCCCCCACCACCCCTTAATCCCCCAGCCCCTCTTCAAAAATGCTAAATGGCAACCCCATACTTGTGACACATCGTTGGAAAGCTACTGAAAATGCTTTCCAGTGGTACCAACAAAGTCAATATTTATTAAGACAATTTAACAAACATTTAATAATTAACAAAAAAAAACTAAACATTGACATTGATGGATTTATGGCAAATTAGCCAAGAACTTCATGTGTCACAAGTATGGGGTTGCCATATAGGATTTTGGAAGAGGGAGGGGTGGTGGGGAGTTGTCACTCATAACGTCATTTTGGTTCCCCTCGATTCCCCCGAAACGGATTTGCGCGATTTCCAATATCTTCTTTAGTTTGGAAAATATGGCCGACTGCAAGTTTTAAAATTGACACCCCGTATGCGGAATTTACCTCCACGCCCTTCTTATAGGTACTTTATAAAATCGACAACGACCACCTCAGCACCAGTATATAATTGACATATGTAGGTACTATAGTTACATCATTAATAATGATGGGCATTTACAAGACAAAAACAACTGATACATTACTTCTATCACGACGCAAAGATCCTATAAACAAATCATCTTTCTTTTTTTATTTCTTTATTGTTGGTATTTAGTACAGATATATTATTTACTCTATGGTACAGATTAGTATATTATACAATAATCATTTAATGACAGCTATATGATTATGAGTGTGTTAATAGCCATTAAATGCGAGTTTCATACACTAATTTTTCTACGACTATGACGACCTATAAAGATGACACGATGGCTTCAAAAGCGGTACAAAATTTGAGATTTTTATTTTGTGAAGGTAGTGTGTGCGCCTTCGACGCATGAGCAGTCATGGTAACGCGTTCCAACGGAAGTGTTACTGTCAAATTTAATCAAGATAACCGCCGATTTGAATCTTATCAATACGTTTCAACGTTTGTATGGGAAATTGGGAGAAAATACCAATTCGCTATGCTCAGCAGCTGTCAAAACTAATAATTTTTAAATATGTCATTGTTATGGTAACTTTGATTTTCATAAATTATACGTCGTCATCCTGTAATACTGCATTTCTATTGGTCGTTTCATCGCACCATGGATATCTCCGATTATCTCTATTGGTCGTAAACTTGTAGCTTAATGAAAATCTGTGTGTATAATGTTTATCGTTTAAGTACAGGTAGCCAATGTTTAATACATCAATTTAAAGGGGGGGGGGGGGGGGGGGGGTTACTTGATTCGGCGACTTAGCCAGGGTTTTGTTGAAATTGTTGGGGCCCTGTGCTTAACCTAGTGGTTCCCTGTTTGTTGTATTGTTATTATTTGCATATTATGCACATAAGTTAATATATTTGTACCGTACAAGGGAGCTTCCATAACAAAGAATTTAATTGTAAGTGGACTGTAATTATGAATTACTTCCAAGGCCTTGTTTATGCTGGGAATGAAAGAATATAGACACAAAAAGAAACATGTTTATTATAAAAAATACAAAGTAAACGAATTTCTATTGAATATAGTTGACGTAGGCACGACGCGCTACTAGAAAAATGGCAAGTTACGAAAGGATAATGTAAACAAAGGAAAGGAACTTACGTGTTGTTTCGAAGTCCATTAACAACGAAGGCGATATTGCAATGACGAAGATTGTTCTTTTCTACGATTTTGTTACAACGAAACCTTCATGATGTGCGGTGTTGACGTTCTGCTTCTTAACAATAACGATGTTGCGAACTGCACGGCGACATCTTGATTTGTTGTGGATCGACCAAGATCTATACCCGAACGACGAAAGCTAATCGGCCATTGATGAACGGCGAATTCTCAACGTTGTTGTGTCGCTGGCTTCTCGGCGAAGAATGGGACGAATTTTGCGCGACGAGTGCACATTGCGCCTCTGCGGCTCATGCGCGCACACGTAACAAATAGGAATATATACAGGCAAGGCAAAACGGTTATGTACAAGGTATTTTCATTAAAGGAAAAACGAAAGGATATATTATTCTAGTTTGGGGACGCAACAATATTTATCAATATTTATTACATTATCCTGGGATCTAGTTAAATTATTGTGTCGTGTAAACTTTGTAAACTGAAGGGGTCTTCTGAACGGCCCCGGTATATTCAGCATCGGATTAAAAAGCGAGCTGGTGGCGCCCACATTTATTTCTTTAAGTTGAAGGTTGTAGTAGGTTTCGACCAACATGGAATCCATCCCATCTCCACTGAGCTAGTGACGATATGATCTAAGGTGACAGGGGTACGCTGCTGAACACAAGTTTCCTTGAAGCTGCCAACCAGTGTTTTTGTATTAGTGCGTCAGAGTATCGCAGGACCATTTCTTCACGTTTGTTACGACCAGATTAAGAGTTTTTTATTTGAAAAACTATAAGTAATTTTAAGATTTTCTGGCTTATTTGTGTCGACCATCTGCGTGTGGGGTGGATGTAATGGGCCCCTCTTTATTTTAAGTTTTTCTTGATTATTTATTGCGTTTTGAGTTCTGAAATAAATCCTTTTGTCTGTTATTAATTCTTCGTCACTTAGCGATACTAGAAATGAATGCCAAATTGTCAATACTGGGCTGAGATACAATCATTGGTGCGATAAATAATCGCTGTGTGTAAAAAAGAACCCACAATTTCAGTGCGGCAGATCGTACCCGATAAATCGCGTCGCTGTCCCATAATTAATGTGTAAATGCCTTAAGTCATTTGAACACGTCAAAATTACAAGATCAAACGAACTTACCTTAAGTGATGTTCGATCTTGATTATATGAAGGCCTCGTTGAAGTAAATAAAATTGTAGTACCTCTGCTTTCCGTTAGAAAAACCACACTTTAAAGCGAAACAAGTAGGCTCCGCATGTTTACCCGTTGTCAAGCCAACAACGCCTCAGTCTCTTTGAAAGTAGTTGTTGCATGGAAGTAAATGGGATTTAACAGCATAAATTTGGGTGGGTATGGGACTATTTACTTCAACGAGGCCTTCATATAATCAAGATCGAACATCACTTAAGGTAAGTTCGTTTGATCTTGTAATTATATTCGGCCTCGTTTCGTAAATAAAATTGTAGATGTTTAAAGATTTTGCAACAACTTTATTATAATACACGATGTTTTCGAAGAAAAACAATATCTGATTTTATCTCTAAAATACAGAAAACATTTATAGAACAATTCCAGTAACACAATTTTAAGCTATATTTAATACCGCTCTAGCAAAAACAGTATTGTCCTGCACAGGCCTGTTATAAAATCGTGCAAAGGTATTAGATTTTGATGACCATCCAGCAGCAAGTCTGATGGTATCATAGCTTACTCCGGACCTGGCTGCTTTCGAAGTCGATGCATGCCTCGTGCTTTGCGGTTTAAATTGGGATGTATCTAAACCACAATCTTTTAAGGCTTGACCTATCCATCTACCTATAGTCTGAGTTGAAGCCCGACGATGAGGCTTCTTATTGGTGATAAAGAGAGACATGCATTGACCTCTATCTTCCTTGGTCCTTTTCAGATACTCTAACAATACCCCTGCCACACATAGGTTTGGATCCGTTTTATAAAAGGGCAAAACTAATAATGGTTGCAATTTATTTACACCTGAAGTCTTTATCCTATTAGGGATTCTAATCTCAACCTTGTCATTAAGAACAACAATGTTATCAATATTAATTAAGGACAGAGTTTGAATCCTTTGACCTGTAGCAAGAGCTAATAACAGTACCAGTTTTTTCGTTAAACATGGCAGAGAAAGAGTTTTATTATTGAGAGCCCTTGCATAACCCAAGGCTATGTCCGGGTCCCATACATTTTCATATCTAGGCCTCGGTGGTCTGAGACTAAAAACACCTTTAAAAAATCTCTTTACACGAAAATCAGACGCAATTTCTGGTCCTGCTATTTGTGCAATTGCACTTCTATACGAATTCAAGGAACCAAACGAAACACCTATATTAAATTGGCAAGTCAAAAAATCTAGCAAGGCTGGAATAGTGACACAAAACGGATTAACTAACCGTGTATTACAAAATGTCCACCACAGTCTTAATCCACTGTTATATTGCTTAAGCGTCGAAGCTGTAATGGAAGCCAAGCAGATTTCTATTGTGTTTTCCGGTATGTTTTTGAGTTGAAGAGCTTTCCGGATAACTTCCCTACCACCAGGGAAAGGTGTTTTGCCATCGGATGTGGTATCCCGCTAAAAGAAAGTAATCGGTCAGAAGGTTCAAGTATTAACGGTTCTTCCGTTAGTAACGATAAAAACACAGGGTACCACGGCTGAGATACCCAGTAAGGGGCTACAACCACCCCTTCTGCATGATCTTTAATAATTTTTTGAAGAGTCCTCAGCATTAAAGTAAAGGGAGGGAATGCATAAAAGGAAAAAACGCTCCAATTTAGAGTAAAGGCATCTACCCTGAAAGCTTCTGGATCTCTTTTCCAAGACACGAATGTCTTGCATTTTCTATTCAACCGACTAGCAAATAAATCTATATCTGGGACACCAAATCTTTTCAACACTTTTTGAAAAGCAGAATTTTCTAGAGACCATTCTGTCTCCTGGTGTTCCTGTCGAGAAGCTTTATCCGCAAAAAAATTCTCGCTTGACGATATGTAAGATGCAAAAATGTAAATATTTCGTTCTTCACACCAACCCCAAATGAGTCGAGCAATCTTGTTAAGGTTTTGAAACCTCACACTTCCCATACGATTAATTGTACCAATGGCAGTCGTGTTGTCCACCCGACATAAAATATTGCAATTATGACAACCTCGAGCAAAACATTTTAACCCAAATAAGACTGCTAAGAGCTCGAGTTCATTAATGTGATTTTCTTTCTCTGAATTGGACCAAAAACCAAAAGAGGTGTTACCATTACAGTATGCTCCCCAACCGGTCTTCGATGCATCAGTAAACAATTCTATATCGAAAGTGTCAGAACGAATAGGATTACATGAAACCGCCAGTTTACTGATCCACCAAGAGATATCTGAATGTAAGAAGGAATCTAGAGTCATCTTAGCCTCATAGTTTCCCCCAGAATGCCGTAGAGCTCGATATTTTTTTTGTTCAAACAATTTTGTATATAGGAATCCATATTTTATAGCTGGGGCTGCCGACACCAGAGATCCAATAAATTTTGAGAATTCTCGAATCTTACATTCTTGTACAGTAATGAATTGATTGGCAAGCTTAATCAATTTAAGGCGTTTATCAGATGGTAGGGATAAAGACATTGTTCTGGAATTATACACAAAACCTAAATATTTGCAAGTCTGGTTTGGTATAAGGTTACTTTTCTTGTAATTCACTATAAAACCTAAACATTCAAGTAGTTTTACTGTTTCCGTTACGTTGCTAATACACTCGGATCGTGTTCTCCCTAACAGGAGAAAATCATCTAGATAAACAACGGAAAGTAAACCTTTCTCTCTAAGCAGACTTACAACGGGTTTTAAAATTTTTGTGAATACCCACGGTGCACAGCTCAGCCCGAAAGGTAGACAATTCCATTCGTATAACTTGCCATTGAAGCAAAAACGTAAATATTTTCTATGGCAGGGGTGAATGGGTATTAGATAATAAGCATCTTTTAGATCGACAGTGCACATAAAGATATCTGGCCTAATTAATCGAGCAACAGTAGTGTAACCCTCAATCTTAAAATGATCAACAGTAATAAAATTATTAAGATGTTTTAAATTCAAAATCAATCGATTAGATCCATCTGGCTTAGGTACAAGAAAAATGTTTGATATATATTGACCTTCCCTCGGCTCAACTATACTGATAGCCCTCCTAAGCAACAGATCTTGGATTATATTATTTACAATTTTGGATTCTTTTTGTGACCATTTTGGTTCTACAGGTACACCAAGTTGACTTGGTTTTGTATGAAAGGGAATATAAAATCCCTTGATATAGGACACTATCCTATTGTCAATACATAACGCACTCCATCTAAACGCAAACTGTCTGAGTCTTCCACAAGGACTACTAACCTCTAACGATCCCTCTGTCCTTGTTTGGATTGGAAATGTTTGTAACGTTCCTGCCTCTTCAGGGGAGTGTACGCTGGTGCTCTGGTTTGGGTGTAGGGAGTTCGGTAACTTTGTCTCAATTGTTGCACTCCCTTCTTCTGCAACAACGGACGTTTTGCGTTTCCCTGTTTCGAAGGTAAAGACGGTCCAGAAAATGTACGCTTCTTAGGTACCTTTAATTGATTTGCAGATTTTTCCAAATCTTTTGCGGCTTTTATGCTACTGTCTAATTCACTTCCAAATAACCACTCGGTTATGCAAGTGTTTTTTAAGGTATCCCGTAAATCCTTATTTAAATTGAGTGCGATCAGGTCCCTACGCGATATCGACTCGGTGTGGTAGATGTCACTCAGCAAACGTCCTACATCGTTCAAAACTTCGATGTACGATATGTGTTCTCCGCTTCCTTCCTTAATTAAATTTGTGACAACACAACCAACACCAGAAATCGCAGCACTTAACTGCGATTGAAGTTGACTCAATCGTATGTCTCTCCGAAATGTACCGTCTTGCACCGCAACTTTTACCTCCGGGTTAATTTTTGGAGGTAACAAATCTGGGCAGTTTTTCGGTGGAAGATACTTTTTAATTAAATTTGTTTTTATGTCTTCTGACAACCCTAATTTTAACAATCTTGTCCAGCGAGAAGCCAAGTCCGGATGGATTGAATCGGAAAAACCTTTTTCCAAAATGTCATCTTCACCTAACAAAGTTAAAATAGCTGGCGGAAGCACGTCCTCAGACTCGTCTTCACGAAGCTCCTGAATTGTTTCATCTGCAACGCCAGATAAATATAAGCAACAATTCAAAACCCCCGGCCTTACACAACCAAAAACTTTAAAAGTTTGGAATGGGTATGACCGTATTAAATTATAAAAACCAATATAACAAAGACATAACTGAATTTTCAGTCGGTCTTCTAGGGTAAAGACCCAATTAGTGTTGCTCTAGGCACAAGAACTCTACCACACTAGGTAGGTACCTATGTTAAAAAATTAACAAAGGCGAAATAAAACAGGTTCACCTCACTCGGCGAACTAACTGTACTCACTGACAGTTAAAGGAAGGCAAAAAAAGCCGACCAGTGCCTCACTAGGCACGCTGACAGTTAAAGGAAGGCAAAACAGCCGACCAGTGCCACACAAGGCACGTTCACCTCACTCGGTGAACTAACTGTACTCACTGACAGTTAAAGGAAGGCAATAAAGCCAATAAGTGCCACACTAAGCACGTTCACCTCTCGGCGAACTAACTGTTCTCACTGACAGTTGTAAAAAGAAAACGCATTCCAACTTACTACCATTGTGTGTAAAATTTTCTATCCCGGCTGAGCAGTTCAACAATTCTGTATCTGCTACTTCCTCATTAACACCAGAAGGGCCAGGAGAAGATAAACGTGACAATCCTTCACGTACTCTTGACGGCGAAAAAGGTGACTGGCTACATTCGCTATCAGAAGGATACGGAGACGGTGATTTCCGCCGGCGTCTTCTTTGTTTTCTCTCAACCTTTTCTAGTCGTCGATCAATTTTCTTAAGCAAACTTCCAAAGACGTGCAACGCATCTGGAGAAGGGCTGCGTTTCTTTAAATGTTTCGGCATAATACCAAGTAAAAAGAACGCACTAAAAAACGACGCGTGTAGTTAAACCAACACAAAAACAAAGACTGAGGCGTTGTTGGCTTGACAACGGGTAAACATGCGGAGCCTACTTGTTTCGCTTTAAAGTGTGGTTTTTCTAACGGAAAGCAGAGGTACTACAATTTTATTTACGAAACGAGGCCGAATATAATAGTAGATATATTACAAAAAACTGTAGCTGTTTGAGGCACCGTAGGTGCCACCTACCTATATTCATTTCTTACACGATGAATCTTAGTGGCCTTCACTTTCAACTTATAACGAAAACCACATTTACGATTTTACGTCGGCGTTACTATGATGTAACTTGAGTTATTTTTAAAATTTGTTGTAAATAGAAATTGTGGTAGATATCCGCGCAACTTTAATCGCAAACAATCTTCAGCAAAAATGCAACTCGTACACCTTTTACTTTTAATTTCTCAACTATTGCTAATTGTGAACGGTTGGACTTCTAGAGCACATGTACCAATGGATCCAAGTAAGTAATTTTTCTGGTATTTTGTTCTAACATTCCTCTGATCTTTAGATGATCCCACCTTTTGTCTGAGTGACGATCCTTTGATCGGACGACTGAAATTGGGCGAAAGTAAATCGTTACATCCTCATCAATGCGTTCGAGCTACATGTTCTCCGGGAATGATTCAGCGAGCCGGGTAGTCTAAAGTTTGGGATTTCCATAATTCAATTATGAACGTTTTTAGGTGTGGAGTGATTGGAGCTACACCTCCAGACTTTATTGGGGAACCAGATCTCAGCAAACCGTACCCTGACTGTTGCCCTAAACTAATTCGCGGTATCCGTATTGATCCATTGACTATTTCTAAATTGTAGGCTTTTCCATCCAATGGAAACTTGTGTACTTCCATGTACGAGGGCTATCCAGAAAGTAACAGACGTTTTGAAATAAAAAATTAAGAAAGTGTAAGAAGCAACTTTTATTATATATATTTCGAAGCTACACTTTTAGGCTATTTTTCAACATAGTCGCCATTCATATGGAGGCACTTATCATAGCGTGGTAAAAGTGTTTTGATTTCAATTGTATCCATCCGCCGCCTGAGACTTTAACCACGGCTTGAAGTTCGGCATCACTGTCCATGTGCTGTGTTGCGAACGAGGTCTTCATCGCTGGGAAAAGGTGGAAGTCGCTTGGCGCTAGATCCGAGCTGTATGGAGGGTGATCCTTTCTCCCATCCAAAATCATCCAAGAGCTGTCCAGTACGTTGACTGTGTACGGGCGGGCGTTGTCGTCGAACAACAAAACTTGCACCTCTTTCCAGCGATGAAGACCTGGCTCGCAACGCAGCGGTTCGATAGGGACGCCGAACTTCATGTCAGCATTACCCAGTGCAGTTTAAAATCTCAGGCGACGGATTTATAAAAGTTTGAATCAAAACACTTGTGCCACGCTATGATATGTGCCTCAATTTGAATGGCGCTTGTCTTGATAAATAGCCCATGCTAGTGTAGCTCCCAAATGTATATAATAAGATATTTTCTTTACACGTAAACGTCTGCTACTTTCTGGACAACTCTCGTATATGGTATAGGTAACTAATTCCTGTTCGCTATTGCGACGATAAGGTACTTGCTTAACTGTTTACGATTCTTTTAATAAAATGTCGTCTAATCTCTTGCACTACTTTTGTGCTTGAATCATTTTTCCTATAAAAAAATGGTCTTAACCACAATCAAGCATTCTAATAATTGGGTTTTCCGCGCTTTTTCAAAAACCTTGAAACTGAACTCCAAGCACATTAAAAAAAATTAGTGGTACTCATTTTTTTGTCAAGAGAAATCGTTGTGATTAGCAAACACGATTTTAAAATGAACGGCGTTTGAAAAGTTTCGAATGACCGCCACGTTGCTGTGACGTCACTACGCACGTTGGCGCTCAGCCGTACGTAGCATTGCTTACAATCGATTCAGAGAAAGAAAACGTCGTTTTGACGGAAAAAAGCGTCGAATAATTATTGCATTTGTGCCTGGGTGTGATAGCAGAAGTCATCGCGAACCTAATAAATTGTATATAAACGTCCCAACAGGAAATATACGAAAAAAGTTCGACGTGATACCGCGAGTTTGACATCCCATTGTATTGTTGTGAAGACGATTCTAATTAATTAAAGTACATAATGTCGATTTACTTTCAGTCAGTTATCGACGAAAATCCATCGATATATAAGATTATTGTAATAATTGTAATTCAGAATATGATTGACTTCGAACTCTGTTCTGGGCATATCTGTGCCCTTACAGTGCACACATTTTTCTCTATTTTCACTTCCACATATTTCTCGTTGAAACCCGTAAGGTGCATACTTTATTAGGTACCTACACTATACCTTGCACTATACACACAAAACTTGATGTTATACTTCCTATGAACCATAACAGATTTGCTTCTGGGCTTTGAGTCCACTCAAACGAGTGGCATGGAAAAACTCACTTTTCGAGAAAAAGGCGGCGACCATTAACACTTCAACCTTTGGCAGACTATCTAACTGCCCCTTTACGAACCAGTCAGAACTCAGTTTATGGCAGATTGCCCCCATGTGTCTACTCCGCCTATGACTTTTGTTTAACTAACCTCAAACTACATTCCGATAAAAAATTTACCTTTATCTATATAAAAAACTTTTATCTATATAAAAATAATATTGGTATCAATACTTACACATGAAATTCCCAAACATTTTTTTCCGTTTTGGAGCAACCACAAGCACAACAACTAACTATTATTTTATGTCACTGCAAAAACCACAACAAAAATGAGTCATAAGTGGGTTTTGCAAATGGCCGACTTCCGTCCCACTCTCTCTTGTATACAACCTGAGTAATGCTCCTTCTTGGTATTCTTTATTCATTGGTTAAACTGTTTTACATTTACTGCACCGTAAGAAGAGGGCCAATATCTTATGAAGAACAATGAATAAAGAATACCAGGAAGAAGAACATCAACCATTTACGCGAGACAGCGATGGCTTTTGCAAATGGCGGGCAGTAGTTTCCTGTTCCAGTGGCGTACCTACCTTACGGTTGTAGAAGGATACAATTATAAAGCATTTTACACGAAAACAATCTAAACCCCCATGTGTCTACTCCGCCTATGACTTTTGTTTAACTACCTCAAACTACATTACGATAAAAAATTTACATGTACCTACTATATAAAAATAATATTGGTATCAATACTTACACATGAAATGTAATTCCCAAACTTTTATTTTTTTCCGTTTTGGAGCATCCACAAGCACAACAACTAACCATTATTTTATGTCACTGCAAAAGCCACAACAAAAATGAGTCATAAGTGGCTTTTGCAAATGGCCGACTTCCGTCCCACTCTCTCTTGTATACAACCTGAGTAATGCTGCTTCCTGGTATTCTTTATTCATTGTGAAGAACAATGCTGCTATACGTTGAAGCAAATTTTCGTGTGGCAGCCATATTCTCAGTTTTTAAAACTATGTGTACTTTTTGTTGTTGTAAGCGACAATAGTGTCCAATTTGTTGGACGGGTTGCAATTCCATCAGAGTTCAATCTCATAGAAAAAAGATGACTCACTAGTAGGCGGGAGATACTTTCTGACCCGAAGGACCAATTTTCAAAGGAGTAGGTATAATGTTTGTTTGAAAAAGTGATTTAAAAAAACTATTCGACAATTTTCTTCCTTCCCCAACTGATTAAGTATGTACACAACAAATTTCGTGGAATCCTCTCCATTTTCGTTGTCTGGTCAAGAATTGCAGTGGAATTTTTTTTCGAATTTTCGAAAACTAAGTTCCGATTCGTGATTTTAATGTTTGCAAAATCGAAATGGGAATACCGCACAAAATATTTAAAGACGTTCCACCAGTCTTTGTAACCTCGTACCCTCGGTTTATTTGAAAAAAGTGCTTATTTGCCTATTTTTTATATACGTATATGTAACACCCTGTATATGTAACTCGGATTTTTTTAAAAATCATTTATTACGATATTATGATTCGAATTCATTCGTGTTGGAAATTGGGATCCCCCCACCCTCCATCTATATGAAATTTAACCTTTGCATCCTTTACAGTGTAAAGTTTACACGCTGTTTCTTGGAAATCTATTTTTCAGAATTTTTTATCCATCTCTGATTCAAAGGTAACTTTAAATTTGTAACTATTTAAAGACCATTGATAATAATTATACTTCGCATATTCTTATTCTAGTAAAATACGTATAGGAGAGTAGAAAATAGAATCAATACATCATAAATGTAAATTTAAATGCGATCTGTTAAAACGCAACTACTAACTATAAAATTGTACCTAGATACGTAGGCATCTACAATTACTACCTACAATTACGATTTCTTTCAAGATTGGTGACTTTGAATTGCTCCATCTTAAAACAGCGTTTACACCAATCCGTCGTTAAAGTATCGTTAAGGCAAGGCCACTCGGTAACGTTTATCTGTTAAATGACCCAAAACAAGTAACAAACTAGTCTTCATAGCGGCCATTTTCATGCTCTTTGCGCCCGATCTTTTTTATCGAGTAGCAGTCCAACCGGAAAATGAACACTCCTGTGGTGACAAAAGAACATTCCATCATTTCCACTAAGATAGCTGCCATTAGAAATGCATAAACGGAGATTCCTTGACCATATTTTACGTTTCGGACGTTTTTAAGGGTTATAACCGGTAAATGAAGTGGAAAATTGGATTATCTCTCCTCGATTTTCGAAAACGCTTTAATGTGCATTTTTGTGCCAAATAGTTGTACCGTATACTTTGTGCTGTATTATATAAATTATAAATCATTTACCTTAAATTTCAAACACCCTACGCTAATGCAGATACTTAATAAACCCTCTTCACTTTATTTATTCGCCCTACGAGCCTATAATGCAGAGTACATACAATGAGTCAATGATATCTGCAAAACGGTCGGTTTATATACCTACCTACCTAAGTAAGTAGATGAAAAGTCGGACATTCTATGTCGTACTTACACCATAGTCGGATAATTACATGACCTACAAGTTTCGTAGGAGTTCACCCCCAGGTCATCAACATATATTGCACATTTTCTTAAAGTGATAACATTGGGCATTATCCACCGATACCCAAATAGTTTACACTTTCGGAAACATTATACACATTCAGTCGTTAAGTAATCGAAATCGTCCATTTGCCTGCGATCTGTTAATGTGCCACGTTCTCTATTATAAAAGTCTTTTGAATAAGAAGCACTGGAAGCGAATAGAATCCAGAGTAACATTTCAAGAGACTGTTCTTTTTTTTTAATTTTAACCACAGATGCTTATAGTAAACACAAGTACATCGCATATTGTAAAACTCAGATGCGCAAACTGCGCAATGTCAACTTTCTTATTTATGAAGATCTTTTTGAGAAATTCTAACCAAAGATTCTTCTAGTAAAGACAACCATATCGCATATTGGAAAAATCAGCTGTGCGCGTGCGCAAACTGTGCAATGTCAACTTTCTTATTTGTAAATTTTTACATTTTTTCTGAAATTTTAACCAAAGATTCTCTAGTAAAGGCAAACATGTCGCATATTTTAAACATCAGATGTACGCTTGCGGAGACTGCGTAATGATAACATGATAAGTTTCTTATTTATAAGAATATTTATGCCATAATTTATTTTCCTTTCTAAACTTAAATAGTCATCATCATTGTTTGCAATCACAATGAGTGGTCATCCACTACTCTTTGTTAGCATTACAAGTATCAAATTTAGCATTCTGACATTAAGGGCATTAAGCAGTAACAGAATTTATAAGCATTAACTGAGTTCGTAAATTCATAAATTGGCAATGTAGGTAGGGTAAAAAAGAAGAAAGACCCTTTAGACATCTCCGTTACGCTTCCCCTTCACGTGCCTTCCCGGAACGACGCGCCATCGGTTTTGGAACGAAGTGTGGAGCGCCAACTTCTGGCGCGTTGTGCAGTGAATAAACTACACGTTCGCGCCATTTCATTCATTCCAGAGTGGTACTGTAGACAACAAGATGAGTTTGGTAAAAAAAAGATAAATTGAAGCTGTAATTCTTCACAAATATATGATGGATAAAGGATAACGTAAATGAAAAGCCCAAGAAGAGGAGGAAGAGGTCCAAGCCATGGTATTTCAAGAGACAGAATTTGGCGATTTGATTTTATTACAAGAAATTAATAATACCAATCCAGAGGATTACCACAATTAAAGTAACACCGCACAGCACACACAAACAAACCTACAGGACTTTTGCTAATGTAGTCTATCTTTTTTCCTCTCCAGCGCATCCTCTTCTAACGGCGCGAAGGGAAGGCGCGTAACGAAACTGCACGCTCGCATTTGGCACGCGCAACCATGGGCGCGCGAAGGGTCTCGCGCCACGCCAGGAATTCAAACATGTTTGATTCCATCGCTCCACGCTAGGCGCGGGCGCGAGGATGAACGCACAGTTTTGGATTGACGTCACTCCAAAACTTACAGAGCGTCGTTCCGGGAATGCACGTGAAGGGGCCCTATTAGTTATGAACCGACTTGCTTCAAATTCAAAATGATCATAGCTTTAGCCATATAATACGCAAATCCAAGCTATAGCCATAACCATCAGGAGCTCGTTTGATATATTTGTTTACACATTTATTCAATAATTAGGTAACTAGGTACCCCTACCTACTTATTATTGTGTTTAGTGATTTGCTGGGTGCTTTTTTCAGGTTCCGTGGTGTAAGAATCGAATCTACTTAAGTTGAGAACGTTAGATTTGCTGCATTATAAGACAAGATAGATTCAGTGGCTAGAACCGCTCAATGTCGGCGTATTATTTGTTTGGTTTGATGAGGGCGCCTTGATGTCACGCCGCACCGGCTCAGGCGGAACGTTCGGGCTAAATAAGTGCCTTATGAAAAAAACGGTACAGCATTTATCATAACTAACATTAGAAAGACTTAACAAACTTGAGCTAAAAAGAAGGAGCTTTAATGAAGTTCGGGAACTTCAGAAAGATGAGATAGATACGTACCTACTTGAGGAAAACATGAGCTGCAGAATTTGAAAGAAACTTGAGAAAACTTCGGAGTTGCGGAAAACCGAAATATCTTTAGATTAAATCACGTTGACACTGTGGCAAAGGCAAGAAAAAGGGGTGAAATTATTATAGATTTAGGCCCAATGTTCGGCTAATCCGTCTCTGTTCGTATTCCTATTTGTCAAAATGTTTTTATTTTGAAACACCCTATAATGTTTGATGGTCGACAACACCGCATTATTGACAGGTTCCGACCCTTAACCCAACTTTTCAGAGGATTAAGTTGGTTTTTTCAAATTTTAATTTTTACAACCAAGGTCGTTGTGCAATAATTATGAAATCAAGGCAGAGATAGGCAATAAATCTGTAATGGCAGTAAAATAATCGTAAAATATATTCTCGCAGTAATTCACGTTGTCGTGCTTCATGCAAACCTACCGTGGTAATTGATTAAAAATGAAAATATTACTCAACTGTGTCCTGCTCCTAAAAGCAGAGAAGTCGGAGGAAGCTGAAGATAAGTACGAATCTATGTTGACCAAGGCAGGGTTTGACGTAAAGCATGTAAAAACATTGGAGTTTCGATTTAAGAACTTGGAAGAGTTAAAAGAGAAATTATATAAACCTGATAGCTACAGTGGAATCATATTTACCACACCTCGTAGTGTACAAGCGACCTGCAAGACGTTAAACAATGAAAACTTAGATAAACGTTGGATGTTGAAGAACAACTATGTGGTGGGCGAAGCGACTTACCAGCATGCTCTAAATGACTGCGGCCTAGACTGCAAAGGGAAAGAATCAGGGAATGCAAGAAAACTGGCAGATGTAATTATAAATGGTATTGTAAGTATGTGGCAATTTCACTTTATATTGAGCATTGCTTTTTAGATAAAAATGATATAACAGAACCGTTGTTGTTTCCCTGTGGGAATCTCAAAACTGATACTCTAACAAACGAGATATTTGAAGAAGGGATTGATACTGATACTGTAATTGTCTATGAAACAGTACCTAACTCTACCCTAGAAGATGAATTTGTTGACATTACATCAAATTATACAAATATTCCAGAATATTTTGTGTACTTTAGTCCCTCAGGAGTTGATTTTACTTTTAATATTATCCAAAAACTGAGTGTTGTAGATTCAATAAAGGTAAAAAGTATTTTATTTGGATTGTATAATCAGATTTTATTGTAGTTTATTGCGATTGGCCCTACAACAGAAGTGGCTTTGAAAAGTAAGTCATTAAAAGTGAATGCTGTTGCACTTAAGCCTACGCCACATGACTTACTAGATGCAATTATAAGGTGATGTCTACAGGGATAGTCGGCCTTAATTAATAAATATCCGATGTATATTTAGTGTGGTGAATATTTTGGGCTAGGAAATGGTTAAACCATACAGTTGGGTGATTGTGTGATATTAAAGCTGTTATTCTTAGCCTTTTATTGTTGAACTATTAAATAAACTTGTTACTATTGGATTAGTTTTGATGTAGCTTTTGTCTGGTGTGGTTACTAACAACTTTTTGCAGAGGGCATGAACATTTTTGTATTGCTGTAGAATACGTCTGATTGTTCAATTTCTTGAAATGCATTAAAAATTGTGACTGAACGCATTTAGAAGTCGACAAAAGCTATTTAGCATGTTCCAAAATCTGCTCAATAATTTTCAAAGACGTTTAAAGTATAATCTGCGCCCTTGCCAGAGCTAGATAGTCCAAAAACTGGAGGGCGCACTAGCCAGTGAGCGAACTGGCACAGAGATTCGAAAGTGGTGCGAAACGTTTGTCATTTTGAAATGGAAGTTAGATGTCGCTGCTTTTAATTCTGATCCAATGTTGCCAACTATAGGAATAGTATAACCACAGACAAAATAATCTGTGGTATAACTAAAAACTGGGAAGCACAATCAAAAGCTTTAAGAAGCTCTGGAATGGCGGAGATTGCTCTGAAAACGCGTTATATTGCGCTTGATTGCTTTGCAATGCGCTGGAAAATATTCCAATATCTATTTCACATGTAAATACAGTTCACAACTTAAATTCTTATCATCCACGAAAACTCCAAGAACGCTCTAATGAGAATGTAGGATGTTTCTATGATGCTTCTAAGGATTGTAATGGTCTAAAGATTTTGGATGAAGCAGGTAGATGGGATACCTACATATCAAGTTCACTCACAGCATACAATAAAGTCATAACTCATAAGGATAGCAAAGAAAGAGTTGTGGAGGAAATACTGCAAATTATAGGCGTGTGAAGTTGGCCGGGAAATTTGTGATTTTTGTAATTGAAACATATGCACAATTAGGCGCTAATTATGCGCTATTTAGCGCCGATAGAATGAAATTTTGCACCCTAATAGAAATTGAGTTATCGCAAAAATTAAATTTACCGGGCCAACTTCACGGAGCCGCGGAATTTTTCACAAATTTGATTTTTATTATACGCTAATTATGCGCCGTTTGGCGCCTTTGAAATGAAATTTTGCGCCTTATTACAAAATTAGCTATCGCAAAAATTAAATTGACCCGGCTAACTTCACGGAGCCGCGAATTTTATCAGAAGTCCGTTTTTATTATACAGGAATTAGGCGCGAATTATGCGCCGTTCGGCGCCGTTGAAATGCAATTTTGCGCCTTATTACAAAATGAGCTATCGCAAAAATTAAATTGACCCGGCTAACTTCACGGAGCCGCGAATTTTATCAGAAGTCCGTTTTTATTGTACAGGAACTCGGCGCGAATTATGCGCCGTTCGGCGCCGTTAAAATGAAATTTTGCACTCTAATATAAAATGAGTTTCGGCAAGAATTTAAAGTAATATTCAGTGCAAACCTGAACAATTAGAATTCTGAATTATCAATTTTTTGATCTGATGGAATAAACGTGAGAAACATTTAGAATTTAGATAAAAATTTTTCGCTTTCTCCCAAAAACCAGGTATTACGGAAACAGTGGGTACAAAGATGCTACCAAAAAAATAAATTTGATCTACCAAAAGCTAAAAGATTTGTAGCAAGCATTTTCAGCATGTTAACAACATGGCCTGACAAGGGAGTTTCTTGCTGGTACTCGGACGAAATCGCTTCACGCATTTCTAACATTTCTTCCAATATTTATAATTATCCAGAGTAGCCTTTGAGGTTAGAAAACAGACTTAACCTTTAGTGTTCGTTTTTCTGAAAATACGAAAGAACATCCTAAAACGAAACAAGTATAGAGCTTAGTAAAAAAACATTATTTCACGGCCTTGTTTCTATTTTTTATAACAATTTACATACCCTCAGTTTCAAAAGTGTTGTTATTCTCCATAACCACACATCGCAGCATGGAGACATATGTATGTTATTTTAACTTATATATGTACCTCTTCAAAGGACACAACTAATATCGAAAATATTCAAAATTGGACGAAATTAATTAAAATTTTCAAAAGCAGTGTCATGTCAAATTTAAAAATAGGACTGGAGTGACGTCACACACTGTACTCTGAGAACTGTTTTCCTATTGACCGAAAGTTACCATGCAACCTGATAAACCTTGCTCTAAAGCAGAAAGTGCACCATGAAATTCCACTTAGAACGAAAACCGTGAATTGAAAAAAATAAAATAAAAAAGTGATCTAATGACGTCACACTAACATAAGAGTTTCGTTATTTTATAAAATTCCATGGCATCACAGATAATTGGTAAAAGTGCGGGTTCTAATTTTACGATTTTCCGTCTTTATAATGAATAAAATTAGAAACTAATACCGTTAACTGGTGCAGAAAATTTTTCTCTACACAAAATCTTAAATACATTATTGCTCTAAAATACTTTGTGGGGCCAATAATCGCATATTACGAATTTTGCATTTAGATCCTTATGGTGCGTTGCGCAAGTCACCACTCTTTATAAGTAACTTACCGCTGCAAACCAGAAAAAGGGTCAATACAAATTTTCATAGGAATGACCATAATGGAAAAACCTTATTTACAGGACGCGCAAAGGTTAGGGTGGATATGTTATATGTTAAACAAGACGCCATGACGCTTGTGTGCAACTATAACTACAAGGTATACGTATGTTTCAGAATTAAATATCATTGAAAACTGGAGAAATAAAAACGCCAGAAAGAAAAAATTGAAGAGAACCGCTTATGGAAGACCTTGTCTAGAAATCCAATTTGTGACAGACAACAAGAAAGTGGAAATCAGTTTAATCAGAAATGGAAACATTGTTAATCAAAGTCGTCCGCTTATAACGAACCACACACGTTACTTTTTAAGAAATACTTGCCCGTTAGATGCTTTTATACAAGCATTAGCAAGTGCATTGTGTGACAGTTCAAAATTAATAGCAGCTTATGAGGATTTAATAACTCTAGCAAAAAAAACCATTGCAAAAAAGTTGGGCAAAGATTTCTACTTACATAGGAAGCAATTAGCTCGAAATTTGTTTAAGCAAACAAAGTTAATTGATGAAGAGGTGGCCATAGATTGTAATTGTAATGTTACATTTCGTTATTGAGAGAACTAATCGTAGTTCGCAATTATGGAGTGCAACAGAAAGTAGAATATGTGGAAGTTGTGGCCAGACAAATGTGAATATTTTGCCTTTTATGTCAATAAACATGCATAATTTTAATTTAAAAGAAATTGAAAGAAATATAATTGCTAACATTTTCAAAACGATAAAATGTCAATGTCAAGGCATCATGAAACACAGCTTAAAGTTATCTGCAAACATTTTCATTGATTTGAACGGAACACCGGCCCTAACTATCTCGGATATTCCATCTACGATTACCTTAGAAAATGTGCAATACCAATTTAGAGCGGCCATAATGTTCAATCCTCCATCGGTTGATGCCGGTATCGGCCACTATTTTACTATTTGTAAGAGAACCGATGGGTCTTTCGAAAAGTACGACGATACCGAGAGGAAAGTGACGGTGGTAAAAAAAGATTTTTGTAATATTTGCCATTTGTTAATGTATATGTAACTACACGCAAAAATATAATAAAATTCAACAATACGATTTTTCTCAAGGCAATATGAACAATTTTATTTCATTCCTATATTTGGTATCCTGCATCATGTCATGAATTATTGAAAAAAGGTACTTTGCTTCTTTATCTAAATTCTAAATCGTTTATTCCATCAGATCAAAAAATTGATAATTCAGAATTCTAATTGTTCAGGTTTGCACTGAATATTACTTTAAATTCTTGCCAAAACTCATTTTATATTAGAGTGCAAAATTTCATTTTAACGGCGCATAATTCGCGCCGAGTTCCTGTACAATAAAAACGGATTTCTGATAAAATTCGCGGCTCCGTGAAGTTAGCCGGGTCAATTTAATTTTTGCGATAGCTAATTTTGTAATAAGGCGCAAAATTTCATTTCAAAGGCGCCAAACGGCGCATAATTCCTGTATAATAAAAATAAAATTTGTGAAAAAATCCGCGGCTCCGTGAAGTTGGCCCGGTAAATTTAATTTTTGCGATAACTCAATTTCTATTAGGGTGCAAAATTTCATTCTATAGGCGCTAAATAGCGCATAATTAGCGCCTAATTGTGCATATGTTTCAATTACAAAAATCACAAATTTCCCGGCCAACTTCACACACCTGCAAATTATGCATTGAAATAAGCCCGAAATAGGTAGCAAGATTACAAAGGACACTTTAAAAGTAATAGTGGTATTTATACCAAAGCCAGGACACGATCAGATAGTCGTTTAGGCCATAGACCTTTACAACAGATATTTTACTAATAGACGGCCGTCGACGTCCTATACTGGTTATTCATTATAAGAAAGTAGTAGATGGCGCTGTGTTTGAAGATAGGCACACACAGGAACAACATAAAACGGCAGCAAATTATTGTACAGTAGAAATATCCAGCACTGTGAACAGAAATAAACGATTTCACGCTTGGATCTTTGATATTAACAGTTAATGACAGTTCGACAGTTTAGTTGTCAACAAAAACTACCAGCTTACAAAATTCGTCGAGGTCTGGATGGTCGCGAGATTCGATGTTCAAGGGATGTGTAAATCAAACCTATTTTTTACATTAAACCCACAGTCGAGCCCACAGTACTTTCAGTAAGTATACAGGGCGATTCAAATTCGAGGGCCACCATGAGGATCTAGGAAACTGTAAGAAATAGGTAGGTAGTTTAACTTTGGGAAGTTACGTATTTTGATACTAATCAAAATGGCGTTTTGTAATAGAAAATGACTGCTATAAGAAAAAACAAAATTGATGATGGTAAACCGGAGACTAAACGTCAAGACTTAAAATTTAAAACTATAAAAAAAAATAGCATCTTGTAGAGGGGAAAAAAGTGGCCATAATAATCTGTCATTTATTTTGAAATATCTTTTTAAATAACTTCAGTAAAAAGTAAAATCGACTTTGCGTTTTTTCCGGATATCTCCAAAGGTAGACTTTTTTCAGTTTCAAAACGGCATTTTGTTAACCATAAAAAAAGGCAAATTTAATTTAGTTTCCGAGACAACAGAATTAGTTCAAATAAAACTTGTTTCATAAAAAGAAATATCTATTTATTTACGATACCTACAATAAAAAATAATGTTATTCATATAAATTATCACACAAAAACGAAGATTAAACAATTGAACATAACAAAACTACCCAAAGGCACTTGAGTTTCACAATCAGCCTTACTGCACATTACTCTAAACTAACAACACCGGTCCGATATTTATCTATTCGGCTGGCTAATGTTCTGATACTATCATGGTTGTTGTGGGATGGTTTTAAGTTGAACTTGCGATGTTTACCCTCACTTTGACACTCTACAATGTCCCACGTTTGAAACAACTTCAATGCGTTTTTCACTGAATCGCTAGAAACACTTTCATCTAAAATGAAAGTACAGTTAATGAATATCAGAGGTAAATAGTTTACCGAAATAGATTGACCCTGTACCAAGCTGCTCTTTCATCTCGTCTAGGGTTTCCATTATTAGTACACTTTCAGGAAGCGGCTGCCCGATTAGTTTGTCCATACAAAAAGCCGTAACAGAGTACGATTCTATCAAGGGCGCTAATAAGCTGCTCGTAAATAAGAGGTAATCATTAACACTCTCGTTGTCATTGATTTTCAACTGTTTTGCCACAGTATAATCGAGTTCATCTTCGTCAAAGAATTGTTCTGCCAACTTCCTTCCTTTCTGAGCTTCGATGGTATCAACGTTAATCTAAAATTGGTACATTTTTTTTATACTTATAAGTGACTAATGAGGTAGAATGATTACGCACTGGTGTAAAAATTTCCTTGTAAATCGTTAAAGTTTCGATGCAGTCCCTAATTGCGCCTTCCAAATCTTGACAGGGTTTGCAAAAAATAAACTCATACTGCAATAGGTTGCAAATGTCCAAGCATCCCTCTACTAATTCGTCTTCGGAGACTTCTCCTAGTTCAGTATCCATGCAGTTCAGGGCTGTGGCTATGACTGCTTCAAGACAGTAATAATTCACAAGAATGTTACTGTAGTAATTAAGTTCAATTACGTTGGGAAGACTTGTGTCAGGTGTAATAAAAAATTTGTCATCTATAACTTCTTTTTTTATTAATGAGACGCCCAACATGTCCACCTAAAATAAATGATTAATCAATATAGTCTATATATCTATTGTATCTCAAGTAGTGATGAAAAAAATTCAGGATTGCCCATTTGCCCATCTTGAATACATTGCAAATGGGTTAGATAAAAAATTAAGTCAAAGCAAAGAGTAACAACAAAGAGTAACAGTTATCAATATATTTATTCATTCTTTTTAATTTTGGTAGCTTTATGGCTTGGCACCTTAGCCAATAAAAATCTTGACGATTAATGTGCACGTGCGCAATATCAACTTTTTTATTTATTAATATATTTTGTTGAAATAACCACAGATGCTTCTACTAAAGGCAGTAAGGCACACATGGCATACTGTAAAAATAAGATGCGCGAATGCGTAGATTGCGCAGTGCCAATCAAAATAGGACACACGGTACATTGTACAGGGTTAATACTTAGACAGAGTGTAATGCGTTTAATTCCGAGATAGAAAAAAAACTTTAAATACAAAAGTTGTAGAGAACCATATAGGTATCTCAGAAAAAACCTAGCTAGATTGGTTCTGTTTGGGGTATTATACGTTTCATCAAAAAGTGGCAGAGGGTCGCGAAAACCGCAAGTCTCTGTCTTTAAAAACACTACAGTCTCAACCAAAATAGGACACACTGTACAATTAAATTTTATAATTTGCAAACATCGTTATGGGCCGCAGGTTGCAAAACGGCGGGCCGCGTGGTTGACATGCCTGACTTAACCCCATTCTGTCGATCTGTTAATACTCGACCATTAAAAAAATTCTGTTAAACTCATGGTGAGTCTACAAGGTTATTCCATATATTTAGATAGCGTGTAACGCGTTTACTATATGAGAGAGAAAACGAATGAATATTGTATAGTTGGTAAAAAATGCAAATTTTGTCAATTTTTAATGTCATATCATATCCAACAGTTGTTAATATTGGTTACATTTAGTTTATTGAAAATAAATATTAAAAAGTAAAGTTGATCCAGGTTATTTCCAGGGTAAAAATAACATATTAATTACTAGTAAATAACAGCCTTTTGTTATGGCAATTGCAATTTGATAATATACTATTAATGCAAATAAAAATATATATAAAATATATTTTTGGAATCAGAAATAAAAGATCTATTCAATTTTTGCAAAATATACAGGGCGTTCCATTAAAAATTCACCAAATTTTCATTTTTTACTAAATTCGCGATATTCTTTGTTTTTTACGTTACATTTTCTGGCGATAGCTACAGGGTGAAAACAAAAAGTTTGACTTTTTGGAATGTTACTACCGATGTAAGATAGAAAAAACATAAAACTTGCTATTTTAGATATTGTTACGTAGAATTCAGCGGTGTAGTAAAAAAAACTTTTGGATCGCCGTTTCTGAGATTTGATCTAAAGTTGGTATTTTTTAAAACGCCCTGTATATCTTAACGTCAATTGCTTTTCATACTTTTCCTGATTACATTGATGTGTCACAACCTATATTATCGATGAAAATTAATAAAAACCCTATTTTATGACTTTTTTAAATAGTAGGCCATGGATTCATGGAGATTTTGTTCTGTTTATTGAATCCATGGTAACTAAGGCAGCCGATGTCAATCAACAAAAATGGTTGGCAGTAGAAACACGTAATTTTGAAAAATATGATTATATAATTTAAAAAAATATAGGATGATTCACCAATACAATCATGAAAAAGAATTGCAAAAAATTGACGTTAAAATACAGGGTGTTACATTTAAAAAATATCAAGTTTGAGTTCAATCTCAGAAACGGTGATTCAAATTTTTTTTACTACACTACTGGATTTTACGTAAACATATCTAATATAGGTAGTTTTTACCTTTTTTTCTATCGTAAATCATCAAAAAGTCAACCTTTTCGTTTTTACCCTGTATCTAATAAGAAACAAACGCACTTAGTTGGATTGATTCTGTTTGTTTATGTTGTTAAGTTTAAAAAAAATGACACAGGGTCCCGAAACCGCATGTCTCTTATCTTTAAAAACAGCTGAGATACACGATCCAGGGACCACAGGGTATATTTTATTGATTTTATGATTATTAGTATTTTTTCGTTTTATTGTATTATTTTGCATTCCTACTTTTTATGTTAATAATAAAAATCAAAATTTTCTTAATGTGAACTTTTTATGATGTGGCTCGCAGCTGTATGTGGAACCCTTAAAATGGCCCTTGGCGATAAATAAGTTTAACATGCCTGGGTTAAGTGATAGAACAGACAGTGTGGTGCCCTAGGATGCCCACCAGCCTGAACTTTTGTCCCTTTGAACAAACATACCTTTTTCTACTCATTAAATATTTACTGAATATCATGTTTAGCTCAATACATGCCTATTATTATTATTAATTATTGCATATAGCTTTTTAAAATATATGTATATGCATCTTCATGGCAATTCTTTTTTGAAGATTTGAGATTACAGTTGAAACTTTGTTTCGAACAGTCAAAACTGTTTATGCATTTGTTATGTTCATCAAAATTTGTCTAGTAGTTACTAATAAGTCAGAAATCAGAAAGGTTGTAACTAAAAAAAATACTGCTATCTTCTTACAAGAATTTTATAGATATCAAAGGCTATTGGTTGGCTATATAATATGTAACAGTTTTGTTTATGTAGCAGCTGATATCTAATGTTTTAAGAACCTTTTGCATATGATTGCAGTTGTAAAATAGAATGAAAAAAAGATAGTGATATCAAATTTGTACTAGTAAACAATTTGTTCCATGCATTACTATTTTGAAATTATCTTTTCACTTTTAATACATTCACAATAAACTGTAATCCTTATCGCCACCGCTAAAAAATTAAAGAGTTTTGTTAAAAAAGCTTCTGAAAACACTTGGGAAAGGAGATGGCGTTAAAAATGCTCTTTCATGATGCTAAACAACCACCGCAAACTGGCCCTCTGCTTTTTTCACACACTCACAAATAAAAAACAAGTACACATACTGCATATAATATGGCATCCCTTGAGCTTCCACTGAAACCCACATCCTTCTGTTTGTTGTCAAGATCAACTCTCAATTCATCCAAAGCTGCCACTAACTCATCCAAAGTAGCTCCCTTCCTAAATTGACGCAATAAAAGGTAGGCAACTGCGTTGGTTGACATTACTGACGTTGAGCGAGCACCATCTGTAGAAAAGAGCCTGAAGACCAATTACTCGCCATTCTCACTTACCGTAAAGAACATGTTTAGAAATTTTCTCTACCAAATATTTGTACTCATCCGATACCACGTCTGTTCCATATAGACTGCTGTTGGAAGGATTTGTACGAAGACTTTTCGGAAACACCTGGTTCTGTACTTTACCATTGTTAAAGGTTTTCATTAACTCCTAATAAAATCAACTAAAAAATAAAAGTACACATTTTGTAACAACTTACTCTAAGTGAAATAGGTTGATTTAAATCAATACGAGCCATTCCGTAATTGGAGTTAAGCACATGCCAAATACTTCTCATTGTCGATCTGAACGTTTCCATTTTCTTTGGTTGTCCTAGCTGCTCCCTTATAAAGTTGCCATCGACCAACTTCTCGTAATTTATACTAACAGGTACCAATAGAGCATCTTCGATCGTTCCGTCCATTAAAGAGTCAAGTATTACACTAAATATCCCATACTTTGGCATTAGCGGTTTTCCGGTCCTAGTGCGACCACCTTCCAAAAAGAATTCTACATTATGTCCCGCTCTCAAACCGGCATTCATGTACGAATGTAAGATAGCTTTGTACACGTAATCCTTTTGTCCCAAAACTGGGTCCAAACGTCTCCTAATGTAAAAAGCGCCTAACCCTCGAAGTAAAGATCTGTAACACGACGTTTGTAAACGGCTTGCATTGTTCAATATTACCCAAAAATTGGCATCCGTAAATTATCTCCCGCGGCAATCAACGGACACTGGATGTTGTTATTGAACAAAATGAATGATATCATTATGTAATCTAAATGAGATCTATGCAATGGAAGAAAAATGAGAGGTAGACCAGTCTGTCCGGCTTCTTTAATCATTTTTACTTGGCCCGAATGGACCACGATCGAGCTTAAAAAACAAGGAAGCAGCTTATATAATACCCACGAAGTTAACCTATAAGTTCATCATCGATACATTTTCCTGCTATATTAAATAAGGATGGATTACACACTTAAATAACAAATCTGACATAGACGACTGCATATCTTTGAACAACTTTTTCGCTCGCCTCTCATTCTGAACCAATAACTGTTCACAATATTCCTCCTCCCATCTGTTCGACTCTTCGACTTGTTTCGCTGTGGTCTTTTCTATAGCAAGCTTCACTCTTTCTTCTTCCAAAATTGAGCTGTCCACATAAGCGTAATTGTAGGAGGTCGCTTCATAGCATTGCGTAAAGTGAGCAAATGTTCGTGTAAGCACTCCCTTCTTTCGAATTGCAGGGTATTCATTTAAAATGTTTTTCAAACCTAAATTCTTCGTCGACTGGTTGACTAACGAATCCTGAAAAGGGTTCAATTGAAAGTACCTCGCCGCTATTCTATGAAAAGCTTTTGTTTGTGTATCTCTGAACGTTCATATTAAGAGATTACTTTTTATTATTTACTTATTTAACTAGACCATCATGATACATATACTGCCAAAAATTTGTGTTTGTCCCGAATTCTTTGAACACGGATAACATTTTTGTTTGATTAGATATATTCACAGCTTAACTGGTTTAAATGTAAACATAGGGACACACTGGCTTTGTCTCAAAATCCCTGAAATAAATGATCTGTGTACTGAAAAACTTATTAGCTGCAACAAGTCAGCATTTGTTAAGATATTACTGTAATTACTTAATACACTGTTAATCTTCATAACTGATTATAATTATCTACTCAAGATTTTGTTTTTGCTTGGCCTTATGCTCATCACCTGTCCTGCATACAGCACAAGGTAATAGCAATAAACAAGTTGTAAATCAGCATATGCATGATGAAAGCGCATTTTTGGTCATGCAGATCAGTATTCAGTATTATGTGTTAAAACATTAGGTTTAATCATTTGGAAATAATTGCGTGTTGATATTGTAAAAGTTTATCTCCGGTCAGTGCGATAAGAGTTCGTTATCGCTGTGAAAAGCTAATTAGTTTCAAGATAAGTATATGTTCAATTTATCGTTCGATGACGCAGTAATTTGTAAAGGAAAGAGGAGCGCGGAAATGAGATAGGGGAGAAGGTTTTATAAAGACGGGAAAAGTTCATTTTTGCTCAAGCTTTTTGTTGGGCGCTTTATTAGTGAATGGCACTCTGCCGTAATTGTTTATGTTATAGAGGGTTTCCCAAGAAAGACAGTCAATCTTTATAATTGTAAAGTTGTAGTTATAGAAGGCACAAAGAATTTCTTCACGTCGTTATAAAAGTGAATGTTACAATACAAATTAGCTGAAGCATTGTTCACGCTTACGAAGAAATAGTCTCAATTTGTGTCTATTGTCAGTTTATCGCTTAAGTGAAGCCTTTCTATAAAGTTGTCTAAATTACCTGAAGTGTAGTTTTCTACCACCAAAAAAACCCTATTATGTCTAAAATTACACCAAAGTCAGTGTCCTTTAAAACAAGAATGGTGTTTGGTGTTTGTGTTCTGTTTAAAGAGTAACGCAGTTGACCGAATAATGATTATTTACTTTACGACGAATCGTCTTTTAAATTTAATGTGTTTCAATCGATCGCCTGTTCCTTGGCATTTGTCCTCTGGCCCTGAGTGCCTATTTTTATTTCAGCTTTATTGATTGATTTTGTCAAATAAAATTGTTTTGTCAGCAAATGTCTAGATTTGTATTTAATCGAGCCCAAATTACGACCCCCGATATAACAGATTTCATGTCAAATTTTTTACACGTACCCAGGATTACATCAGGTGTAAATTAAAAATTTGTGAAATTCTTTGGAATTGTGGGAGTGCTCTAGAGCTAGTGCTACTGGAGGCACTTCTGAAAATAATAAAATTATAAAAGTCTTTTTTGTAATGGCAGAATTTTAATTGCTATCATCCCTATATATTGATCTCTGGAAATTGGATAGTAATTTTTGGACGGGATTTCACCTATACGAGTGAGAATATACATTGCAGTCTTTTCTCTTTATTGTAAGTAACACCATGAGCACTTCGTTCACTTAGAGTGTATCTTGTTTAGGTTTCTGCTGTAATTTGTTGCTACTGCAATTTCCATCTTTGCCATCTCCGTTAAGTTATGAATTATGTTATATGTATTCAATTCGTTTACTTTACTTAAAGAAATATTGAGAAAAAATCAAAAATAAAAATTTCAAAATTAGTTTCTTCAAAGCATTGCAAACAAAAGCCTTTTTTTTTACTTTTACCGTTCGTTTATGTCAATGGCGTATTTCTATTCCCGTTTACTTACCCTACTAACTGGTGCGCAACTGTAACATGTAAGACCCATTAATGGTCTGGTTTTAATGTTTGAAATGGGAGGTACATTTTCTTTTATGTCATACAATTGAGCTTCTCTTGCCTAAAATAGAAGAAAAATTATAAAATGTGCGTAACACAAATATTGACAGTTGCATTAGTATAGCATCTTTGGTAATTAGCACCGTCACAAATAACCTTTCATATTTCAAAAATGTAGGTACGTATTTAGTGCAACAATTACTCGGCAGAGTACTTACCAAACAATTAATAAAAAAATATGGGCATTGTCGCCTCCATTTTTCATATTTATGTGTTACCCCTTCCACCAAAATCTAGGCATCCTACTAAGTTTTGACAATAGAATAAAGGAGAAGTGTGAAAGAAAGAAATCTACATTCAGACTACTCATGACAGACAAGAAACTTACCTTTGCTTCCGATTCCCTGTTTAAAATCCTTTTATATCGCTGATCCGAAGAAAATCGTTTCAAATCGTTAATTGTTGACAAGGAATCGCCTTGTTGCTTGGGCACGGGTGCAAATCTGTTGACTGCTTCAAACATACGACTTGTTACAATATCAACCATTTTATTGGCTCTGAAAAAGAAACCAAGTTCAGCTTTCATCAACAATGACTTTTTTTCTTATTTTACAATGATACTTGTCGTATGCAAGCCACAAAAGTACAAATTTCGAGCTAAAAATTCGCCTGTAGAAACGTGTACTGTATAGAATTAAAATTACTTCAGCAGTACGATAAGCACAACAATATAAGAAGAATCGCATACGATTTTCAGTAGGGGAATTCAACTTACATTCGGAAATACGACTTAATGCGGCTAATATTTAATAGCATTGACGAGATACATACAAAAAGAAAAGTCTAAAAAGGTCAATGCTTCTGGAAAAGGACGGTGGAACTTTAAAAACGATCTGAAGTGCTCTGGAAGGGAGATAGAAGGGTACATCCTTTTAGATCTTCGATTGATCCAGAAAATAATAATTATTCTTGTTTTGGTCTATTCTATCGCATTGTTTTTAAGTACTAAATGGGGGCATCCCGGCTTCATTTTTTATTTCTAATCTACAAAGTACATTAAAAATAAAAAGACCCATGTGTCCTCAATTTTTATTTGCGAGTAAAATAAACCCAAAATAAATTATTGAAAAGCTGTGTTTTTAGTCCGAATTTGAAACGCTTCAGTCTAAATACGTCACAAACCTACAACCAATCACGTAGAAGTGCGCCGGGAACCTTGTGCAAGCGTCTGACATTTTAAGAGGCATGTTTAACAGGTGACGCAAGTTACAACTGACAATATTGCCAATTCGCTATGTCTGAATGGTTCTAGGAGCTGATTGGTCGGGCTTATTACGTCACAGAGCACGCCACATATCGTTTTGAATAAACCCTTAAAACCGCACATGTTCATTATTTTTTTACTAATCAGCCTATATTTTTAAATAAACTACACTGTAAACCCCCATTATTAGTGCAATCAAAAAAGTAATTTTGTGTCCTTTTTGGGTCAAAATTAAAATGGTAAAATCAAAATTTGAAAATATTTTCTCGCTTGAAAGATACAGAGCAAAATGAGGGGCAAAATGATAAAATTATCGTAACGGGCGATCGCTTTGCAGTTATATTTGTTTCGAGTATGTATTTCGTTCAGCATAGGAAAATATACATTTGTACCGCTTCATAGAAAACGTGGACGTGAGTGTAGGTCTAGCGATAAGCGAATCGCGTTTGGAATTAAATATGAGTAGGGTAGATACGATAAGCGCGTGCTCGACTGTGTTGCCAGTATAGCAAAAATGCGCGCGAACTCTTTATTTCTAAACTTGAGCTTGGCCCCTCTTACCTAGACCAAAATTGCAAATGTGTGAGACATTTATACTCTTGAAAAGGCCACAAGGGAGCATCCAAAAGTTTGGTAAAAAAATAGTTTTTGACAATTTTACTTTATGCGTAATGTACCGTGCGTCCTATTTTGATTGAAACTGCAGTCTATCTTAACCGTTTTCGCGCCCCTGTGCCACTTTTTTGTGAAACTTGTAATGCCACAAACAGAATCATTCCAGTTTTGTTTCTGAGGTAGAAAAACTAAATATTTTTACGTAGAATTCAGACGTCGAAAAATGTAAAAACTGCCTGCTTTAGATAATTTTACGCAGAAATTCAGTGGCGTAGCAAAAAAATTTTTTGGACCTCAATTTCTGAAATTTGACCCAAAGTATTTTTTAAATGAAATTAACGTATTTTTTTGTATTATTTTTCCTGGTTACATTGATGTATATTTTTTTATATAATAATTACACATTACCTATATTGTAGGTATATTTTTTTAATTTTTGAAATGACATGTTTAATACTATAAATTGTGAACACAAAGCGCATTTATTGGGTGATAGGGTAGTAAGGCTCTTTACACATTCAAAATCGACGCTATGTAATGCAAGAAGAATTAAGCCACTACAGAAATTGTCCACAATAGTGCATTATTACTTTATAGAGACATTCCTCTGACACTCTATTCTCGAGATCTTCATACTTCAGTTTTCATATCGCCACTAGATATAATGTCTCGTCCACTCTCCGAGCGCCCTTTAAACGTATTTGCGCATGCATTTAATATCACCAGCAGATGCGTCTCGTCCATTATGAGTACCCTCTTCTGACATTTCGTTTTCATCGAGACCATTCATTTTGCCTTTGTGAGTATGTACTGTCTTCTGAAATACCAGTTTCGAGACATTCGCTCTTCTTCCAGACGTCCAGTCGCCCGGTCACTACACAGTCCTCTGACATTCCGCTCTTGAGATATGAAGAGAAAATCACGATAAGAGATCGAACATCACATGTCACACCGCAAAGTGTCTGGTAATTCCTTATAGAAGGAAAGAGAAAGGAGTGAGAAACGGTTATCGTAAAGTGAAGCAATTTCTCACCAGTAACATGGCCGCCTACAGTTCATTGGCGTAAGGTTAAGCTAGCAACTGTAGGTACATATCGTAAATACAAATGTAGTTAAACAAGTACAAATTGTGCACGACATAACAAATGAACCGATACGATAATTTATGCATATCTTTTCTGTTTATTATAATATTACACATAAGTACAGTACAAAGAAGCTACGGCCATTGGTTAAGACATGCAAACAGCTGATAGATTAAACAAAAAGTAAACACAGTTTTGACCATCAAGAATATGGCCAACACGCGAAACTTTGCTTCAACGCGCAGCATTGTTCTTGATAGAATATTATCCTACGAGTAAAAAATAAGTAGATATTATTCTCATTTCTTCCATAGTCTACGGGTAATTCTGCTATATTTTGCCAACAATAACGGGCGATCAAAAATGAGTTGCTGTCAAGACTCGAGTCGCCTTTGGTAGTTCCTTTCCCATGTAAACAAAAATTCCAAAAGTGACTCAACAGGAACTTATTTTTGATCGCATAGTATAACAAAATTAATTTACCTATGGTAATTAATTGCATTACAAAAACTGTAATTTTGGCAGTAAAACACAGTCACCTGCTTCACCTAACAAGCATTGAATCAGTTATATCATAGAGTAAATAAGGTTGTTTACTCTATAGTCCAGTCAAATAAGAAAAAATAAAAACATTAATCGGTAAAGATCTGAATTTTGGTACACATTTTCATTAGTGTTCCCTATTGGACATACTAAAAGTCCCCGTCAAAATCTGTTGCGCTCGAGGCGCCATCCTGGAAAAAAGGAGCACTTTTTCAGTTTCTTGCCTATATATCGGCAACAATTATCGATACGGAAAAATAGTTCAGATAAAAAATATAGGTAATTCTGAAGGTCTGATAACGATGTCGGTTTTAATATCTCTCACTAGCAGGCACGTTATACTTATGCAGATAAGGGCGTTCTTCAGCTTCAGAAATCACATCGTTGCTCCAACACTTTTACACATTTTGGCTTACCTTTTTGAAAAAAACATGATATATCATCAAACATTATGTCATTGCTAGAATGCTTTATCGCACGACAATTCTGTTCATTTTTTGGCTCTGTTACAGCTATCGGTGTAGTCATAAAAAAGACGGCCTCCTTCTATAACTACGATACGGGGCTTAAACGCGTTCTGACGTATTCAACATGAGATTACAGCTAAAGTATTGGAGATACAAAAAAAATGTAAATACTCTTTTTTATAGGGAATTTAGTAAACTATATTTTTCATGTAAACTATTTCTTCGTGTCAGTAATAATTGCAGAGATATGGGCAAAAAACTGGAAAAGTGTACCGTTTTTCCAAGATGGCGTCTCGAGCGCAACAGATTTTGACAGGGACTTTTAGTATGTTCAATAGAAAGTCCCAATAAATGTGTATACCAAAATTCAGATCTTTACCAATTAATGTTTTTATTTGTCCAAAATTGTGCTAATTTGACTGGACTACTATGGTTATATTGAATGGTATCAAAAGTTTTCAAATTCGTTCACTTGAACAAAAGCTGAACTCACGAGGTTAATGAAATGCTACAAAACCGTTTGTTTATTATTATATTTTATCATTTGAGATGTTTTTAAAGATAGTCCACAATATTATTGAACCCTGTACCTTTATCATCTTGCACGATGTGCGAGTAGGTCACAGATTTATATACTATTGATACAAACATTCCGTTATGCTGCTTACACGCAATCATGATGTGGTAAGTACTCTTCCCATTTCAAATATTCAAAACAAATGCTACTTTATCTACATTTTTAAGTGTTTTATCGCACGATTACGATTACGATTACAGTCGAACGCCATTTGTTGTTTAGGGTTAAAGGTTACCGAGGCTCAAAAATAATTTAGCATGAAGCAAACTTTTGTAGGTTTGGAGTGGCGTGATTACTGAAAATGCTGTCTATTGTATGCTAAGTATCTTATCCCAAAGATCAAGAAATTAAAGATTAAAAATGTTAAACGTTCCCGCCCAAACTGACACCTTAGTTTTTATAAAGAAGAATCGTCGAAATCTTGATGCCAGATTTTGCAAAGAATTTTTACAAGATAGGTCGTTAGTTTTACATTTCTATGTGAGGGCTGTTCAGAAAAAAATTAATGACGAAACGCAAATTTTGGGACTTTTGGAAAGGCAACTTCAAAATCAAGTTCATAAAATTTCCGTATAGGTAACTGCGAGAAACTTATAACACAGCCTTGAAAAAATTTCTCATAATCTGAAGAGACTGCATCACTGCAAGGACAACAGTACAAAGGAATGGAAGATCCTTTGCAACAATTCGCGTTTCCTGACCCTCCTTGATATGTAATTGAATGTAAAAAATCGCTGTTCAAAATTGAAGATCAGTAGATTGAATTCAAAATAAAGACGGGCAAATGTAAATAAATATCCATGCATTTTCCGTGAGGAAAAGGCGCTGACGTTGTATGTACAAGGTGCATATAAATAGTGACGAGTAAATATCATTGCAAAATCACTTTGATAAAAATGTGTGCAATGCTGATATAAAAAAAAATTCTGTAGGGATTGAGTAAATCATGGGTCAAGTAATTGCTTAATTATACGTACAGAAATTGAAACGTTTGCTGATTTTTAAATCTTTAAATATGCATTTGACACAGCAACTATTATTGATTAATGATTGACCGACACATCAGCACAAGCCTGACACAACGTTTGGAATGTAGATTTACAAATCTGCGTAAGTAGCTACCATTGGCAAAAAAACTTCCTCTCAACATCAACCTACCACCGTACCTTTTTATAAAATCTAGACAGGAAGTTAAGGCTTTGTACTGGAAACAATAAATTGTGTACAACTCTGGACATATAAAGCGCATTGTTTAAACCTAAATAGCTTAGAAAATAATTGGGCTATATAGTGCAGCGGAGAGAGCCGCGAAATCGTTCAAAAAATTTTTTCGGAGTAGAAAGAATTGGGACCCACACCATTTTGTTCAGAAATGTTTGAACCTTCAGAATCTCGCTTTACGACATTTTCCCGTGGTCCTGACAAAAGTTATAGGCCGCTAAAGTTGAACTTTACTCATTTTCGCGCGCGCGACTAGACCACCGAAAGTATTTATTTTCTCAGTAACTAAGCGATACACATCAATAATTCCTTTTGAAAAATGAAAGTACATTTATAGCAGAATCTAAAGCATTCATATTTACCTACCTTGTTATGCACAGTTTTTAGAAAAATGACCGTCAACTTCCAAAATTCGTGTAGCAGATGAAAAGTGCGCACTTTGAACTCTCATAACTTCTTATTTCACGATATCGATTTCCAATACTTATAGCTCATTCTATGCTCCAAAGCATTGTGATTATTTTATTTTCAATAACATTACCGTGAATTTTTCATAATAAAAAAGTTACGGTCATTTAAGTAAAAGCCTACCAACCTCGCCGAGTCGGGAGTCGCGAGTGAGACGGAGAGGGAAGGATAGTCAGCAGCGTTCGCTAAACAAGGAGCGATGCGTAAGAGACCTCGGGTTCTACTTTACTAAGAAATTTCTCTCCGAATACCAAAACTAGCTATTTAGGCCGTTTAGTTTACAAATGCATTCCGCCGAGTTGCATTGTAAAATCTCAAACAATTCATTAACTCCATGTATCTCAGTTCTTTGGTGAAATCTATAGGTACAAATAGGTACCTTTCCCTGTAAATTTTGGGGGTTCCTCCACAATAGGTATCGGCTGTGCTGTACTGTATATTGCAAGATCAGCAGCACAACGGTATGATTTTATCCGAAAGATTCAGGCTTGTTTTTTGATTTCACTAGACGATGGTTAGGATGGTATTGTAGCTCGTTGGTGGATAATTCAAAAACGGCATACATACAGGGTGTCCCTAAAAGGTCTGTACAACGCGCTACCAGGGGTTCTTGGTATCAAAATAGGACGATTTAACCCAACTTACCTCTATCCAAAAGTGCCTCGGTAAGGCGCTATCTACCGCCAAAGATTTAAAAAAAAATCGTTATTTTTATTTTATCGGAAAATGGTTTTGCCGATTAAAATGAAATTCGGGATGTGAATGTCTAATGTAAAAAGGGTCTTTGTGATATCATCGTTTTGATTGTAGTTGCTATGTAGGTGGTAAAATACTGACCATCCACATCTGAAGAGGTCTAAAACTTTTTAACTACTATTTTGACGGTTCTGAATTTTTAGACACTGATAGACAGTTTACTTGCAAGCATTTTTTGTCTCTTGATGAATATCGCTATCTGTGATGGTTTACGAAAAAAAAAAAAATTTAGGCATGATGAATGGCATGCACCATACATGCGTTTGTTGCGAAAATTAGTTGACAGTTTTTCTCGTCTAATTGCTAGGCAACAGATTTTCATTACCTAAACAACCCAAATTTACTCGGTAAAATACAAACCTCTTGTGCAATTATAAGTGAAAATTCACGGTAATGTGTATCGCATACACAGGTCTGGAAACACGACTCTGTTACCCATGTGAGAAGTGGGTCCGCTAAGCGTCAACTGTCGCGTCGCATAGAATCAAAGGTCGTCACGGGCGGCGCATGAGTCGACGAATGTTCTCTGGCAACACTGTTATATGGTTGACGTGTAAACACAAGGAGTACCACAGGCGCCGCTTTGAACCTCTTCGCAAAAAAACTGCCGCTTTGAGAACAAAAATGACGAAACCGTGTATTGTGACAAAATGCAAAACGGGGTACAAGAGTGTTTCAAAAAAATGCTGAAAGATGCGGAAATGCGTAAAAAGTGGACGCTTTGGATTCCGGAAGGTTGTTTTAACGATGATTGATTTTAACGGCGTTTATTGAATCGGATAGAGCAAATTTTCTCCATTGAATGTACCTATTTAGAAGGTGCCCTTACAAAAAAATTATAATGAATGCCTTCGACTTCGACGTTTTGAAGCTAAAACCTTTCCCGTTGCCTCTAATTTTCGCCTGCAACTAAGCCGCATATCTATTGGTATAAATTAAACCTTTTCCATTGTGACATTATAACTATCATCGTTCCTTGTAATTCAAATAATTAATACAAAAGTTATGGCCTAAATTGAATGAACGTAAGTAAAAAAAACGCACGTGCTCGGATTCGAACCTGCGTCGTCGGTCTTCTGTACGACTGCACCCAATCTATATTTACCTACTCAATTTACACCTTTGTCTGCAAAAGTTTATAGCTGAATACCGACTGAATATCATCTTATCTCTCGCAACTATATTCATCTATAGGTACTATACACTGTAATGTAAAAAATTGCGCTTACGTACAGAAGACTCTTGAGCCATCTGCGCTAACGGGACGCATGCTTTGCATACGCTTATACCCGCTTTAGCTATACCATAATGATCTTTGGCTATACGATATGGTGCCTAATCCTGACAATATACCTCGAGCCATGCGCCACCTGGTAGCTGAGCGAAGGACTAAGAGTCTGAAGACACGTAAGGGACTCTTCTCAAACCACAGGGTTTCCAGACCTGTGTACACGACCGTGGGCCCGACCTGTCGCCTAATTGGTGGGGTAGAAGCTTGAAAAATTTGGCGAATTCTCCACAGACACTGGAACAACCCTCGCGTAAATTGCAGACTTGTGAGACACAATTACCTCAACACGAAGTCGACCACCTAACCTGCTGGAATGCCCACGAAGAGTCGGATAGTGTGAACCACGGTATAAGATGTGAACCAATAGAGGAGAGACATACAGTGCGTTTATCTTACATTGGAACATACGATTTTGCATGCAATGGTGTTTCCCTATGTTCTATTTTTAAAAAAACGCATCAACCTATAGGATATGTGCGGTTCACAACTGAACCAGCCTTTAATTATTTTTAGGTTGTGTTCGTTGAAATAGAATTAGGTATTAGTTAATCCTATAGGTTAAGGCGTTTTTTTTTAATGAAACAGGGAAATAACATTGCATGTAAAATCGTATGTTCCAGTTTACGATAAACGCACTGTAGTATATTATTTTTAAAAAGATGAAAATTAATTTCATCTTTTGTTTTGTTTTTGAAATTTTAATCAATTACAACCTACCTACCCAAGTCACTTGAGTAATGAGTTTCACCAATCTGAATTTTTGGTAAACATTCAGTATACATAGCCGAAAATTTTCATGGGAAGTTCTTTTTATGTGATATTTTTCTCCAACATCTGAATCGAGGTATGAATAATAATGACTTACGAAAAACATTGCGCTTGGTTAATTTTCACTCTGCCACATTTCATTATGCGACATTACCCAGGTTTTTTTGTATTAAAAAAACCGTACCTGGACGCAATAAGACGCATAATATGAAGGTAGAATGCACCCGGTGGTATGGCGTAGACGCAAAGGAAAACTTTGAAGGGTTCATTGTTTCATTGGTCAGCGTAAGCATATCATGAAACAATACAACTGAAATATTTAAATTAGACGGCTTTCCGTTATCGTTCATGTTTTTACTTTTGTGATGATATCGCGTTTAAGATATATTTTTATCTGGATTATTTTGTAATGTACATATTTGTTTAAAAATTCGTCTTATGTCTACATACCTGGATGCACCTTCAAGAAATAAATTCGGCCAAAACCAATACAAAAATCCAAGAAAAAATACAATTTCTAAGAATCCCTCCATTTCGTATCATCCAGAAAAAGTTCACAAAATACGCGCACACGTTACAATAGTATCCAACGCCGTAACCCCATTACTGTGCTTAATTAGGTAATAAACCTATTAATAACAATAGACAGGAGTATCACATGGGCGAACTTCTTAAGAGTGTCGGCCAATACAACGCACACTGCTTGCAAGCGGCATAAACACAATCTTTATCGATGAAATTAATAAACAATTCAAAATTAATTCCCACTCTTTCCTATTATCTACGTCGGTGGTGAATGGTGGGGAGTAATCATTAAAAATTAAACAAAAAATTTGAACGACACGAACAAGTTGACACTTTTCGGGCATATCGTATGACACACATACTTAATTTACTTACGCTGCTTTGAGAGAATATAAAGACACGTTCCAAAATAAACACCTTACGTGCATATGCAATGTGCAGAATAAGCTCATTATATAGGGTGTTCCTAAAAATCCTAAAGACGGTAGGTTCGCAAACGCTTCGTTATCGATATACAGGGTGTTATAATCTCACGATTTGCAAGTATTTTCGTTATACTCGTATCTCCAACAGTTATTGGGATAATTTGCTCCAATTTGGAATATAAGTTACGCTGAAGAGCTTACATCATTGTTCATGTCAATGGTAGTAAGTCCACAGGGTGATGTTTTTTTCAGGAGTCATGTTGCATGTTGATCTCTGAACTTTTTTCGGTACGCCACTAGTAGATTGTAAAATGAGAAATTGATTTTCCGATTTGTTTAACCGACCGTTATCGAGAAAAAAAAATAAAAATCTATTTTCGGTTTTTAAAATGGGTTTATAATTTGCATTGATAATTTTATCTTGTGTTTGCATATGTTTATAAATTAAAGGTTTAAATTGTAAAGTCTACGGTGTAAAATTGTTTTAAAACTTCGTTAAATGTCATTAATATACAGGGTGTTTTTTAAAGATGGGCCATAGAAAGTACACACCTAGTACAACGCAATGTAAAGCCGTTGAGTTATTTAAAATGGGCCATAGGGAAATTTGCATTGCGCAAATTGTTTTCAAATCTTGGCATTTGTTTATACGTTTGTATCCCATTTGAATAAATTTGTCGATTAAGAAACAATGTCTACAGTACTGTGACACATGATTCGCGAGGAAGCTATGACTGAAACAATTGATGCAATGTAAATTTCCCTATGGCCCATTTTAAACAAATCAACGCCTTTACAATGTCGTATGGCCCACCATAAAAAAACACCCTGTATGTAGTTTAAACTTATAACAATGCCAAATTTTATGAATTCTGAAATGGCTGGGATGCATTTCAGCTATGGTCTTGCGAATGGAAAGGCAAGGGAAGCCCAGACATCTGTCCATGGACCGCTATCGCAATAGAAGAGTTTTGAGTTTTGGATCAAAGGCGCAGCCATGGACTATGGCCCAAGCTCGTCGCCTTGGTCTCGTAACTAAGGCGTGCCCTTGTTTTGAGGTGCAAGGTCGTGACCTGGGATTTCTCAGTGCTGTAATTAAGGCGTGACCTTGGTGAATATAGCGTTAGGATGCCAAAAGGGCAACACTACTCTTAAAAACCGACAAATTATTCATTTCAAATTTTACAAAAAACAAAGCAAAATCAAATCCTAAACGCGTTCGCGTAAAACGAAAAAAAGGTTCTGTACTTACATAGTACTTAGTAGGTATAAAGTTCACAAAAAGATTCACCCGCAAATGGATGTACAGATATCACTATAATCGCGTAAACTTTTAGGAAATGATGAGACATTAATAAAACTGGTAATACGGTAATGTTAAAGAATTACTTTTACACTGTATATATGAGCGTGATTTTTGGTGCATTTTTTAAAAATAAAAAAAAATGCGCTATTGTTTCCGGTTTGTCTGTCCGCCTGTTTGTCTGTCCGGGCCCACTTCTGCGGTTTTGAACTACTTTTAGAAGAACGGGCCTAGAGTCCTGGAATTTAGAGATGTGCCAGACGGCCATCAAATTTCCCTGTCTCATTTTAGCATCAATACAATCTCGAAAATGACGGTTTTTTGCCATAACTTCGCTATTTGTAAAGCTACAAAAAACTTTGAAGCGGAAAATTAATCAGCATAAAATTTTGCATAACTTTACCCATTGCTTAATATCACGCAATATAGCCTGCTCATAATGATGATCATATATGAAGAAGAGTGCTTGATTGACTATTAAAATTGCATAATTTCACGTTTGTGTATAAATTAGTTTCTCTGTACAGGGTGGCCAAATCAAATTGGCATAGTCTTTTGTTTTTGAGTTATGTGCAAAAGTTGCATTTTTCGATTTTTAGATAGAAGTATAATTTTTTTGTTTATTCTATTGGAAATGTGTTTATTACAAATGATTGTTGCATAATCTACCGTTCTCAAAATAAGTATACGGTGTGAGGTAAAAAAGTTAACGGACCTAACCTCATTATTTTTAGATTTCAGATTTTTTAAAATAGAACACCCTGTATATTTTAATCTAATTCTAAACAGACAGCATATGAAATACTCTTTTTAAAACTACAGCACACCATGGATATTAAAAAAAGATTCAAGAGATTAAAAAAATATCTTTAAAGATTAAAAATGATCAAAAAAAAATTAAAAAAATTCAACAAAATTTTTGATTTTAAAAGATTTTTAACCTCTTTTTAATCTCAATTGAATCCATCTAAAAAATGTGGTTAGGTGCGATAATTTTTTTACCTGACTCCATATATTTATTACATCAAAGAAACTTCTGTAATAAACACAATTTTCAGATCACTGTATTTTCCAAGAAAAACGAAATTGTATAGCGGGTGGTAGTTGTGCAGAATACGGCAAATTATTTCGCCCGCCCGCTCTGTAGATTTATATCCCATGCATTTATCCGAGCAGTTATCAGTGCTTCCCAAAAGGCTATGGCTATGTTTTTCTCTACTAAAAGCATCTATGATTAAAATTTCAAAGAAATATCTCAATAAATAAGAAAGTTGGCATTGCGCAATCTTATTTTTGCAATATGTGATGTTTGCCTTTACTAGAAGCATATGTGGTTAAAATTTCAAACTAGAAGCATCTATGGTTCATATTTCAAAGAAATATCTTCATAAATTAGAAAGTTCGCGCTGCGCAGAAGAAGACTGCGCATGCGCACATCTAATGTTTAAGTAGAATATTAGGTGTTTGCCCTTCACAGAAGCATTAGTGCAGCGGAGAGCCGGCGCTAACTCGCTTATTTGAGGTAGTTTTTTTTTTCGGAGTAGAAAGAATTGGGACCCACACCATTTTGTTCAGAAATGTTTGAACCTTCAGAATCTCGCCTTACGACATTTTCCCGTGGTCCTGACAAAAGTTATAGGCCGCTAAAGTTGAAATTTACTCATTTTCGCGCGCGCGACTAGACCACCGAAAGTATTTATTTTCTCAGCAACTAAGCGATATACATCAATAATTCCTTTTGTAAAATGAAAGTACATTTATAGCAGAATCTAAAGCATTCAATTTACCTACCTTGTTATGCACAGTTTTTAGAAAAATGACCGTCAACTTCCAAAATTCGTGTAGCAGATGAAAAGTGCGCACTTTGAACTCTCATAACTTTTTATTTCACGATATCGATTTCCAATATTTATAGCTCATTCGATGCTCCAAAGCATTGTGATTATTTTATTTTCTATAACATTACCGTGAATTTTTCATAATAAAAAAGTTACGGTCATTTAAGTAAAAACCTACCGACCTCGCCGAGTCGGTAATCGCGAGTGAGACGGAGAGGGAAGGATAGTCAGCAGCGTTCGCTAAACAAGGAGCGATGCGTAATTTACTAAGAAATTTCTCTCCGAATACCAAAACTAGCTATTTAGGCCGTTTAGTTTACAAATGCATTCCGCCGAGTTGCATTGTAAAATCTCAAACAATTCATTAACTCCATGTATCTCAGTTCTTTGGTGAAATATATAGGTACAAATAGGTACCTTTCCCTGTAAATTTTGGGGGTTACTCCACATCAGGTATCTCTTGTGCTGTGCTGTATATTGCAAGATCAGCAGTAACAACGGTATGATTTTGTCCCAAAGATTCAGGCTTGTTTTTTGATTTCACTAGACGATGGTTAGGATGGTATTGTAGCTCGCTGGTGGAGAATTCAAAAACGGCATAGGTATATTATATTGAATGGTAGATACCGGAACTTACTTAGGAGGATTATCAGCAGGTACTTAGGCTGTTAAAGTCAGTTATCTGGTCGTTATCTAGTGATAGGTAAACCTGGTGGTCAATCATTTCTAGACATGCCGTCTGCATGATCTCGAATTTAAACTTAACTTAAATAATTTAAAGATTGTAGGATGATTCGCCCCCGAAAATTCGCCCCGGTAAATTCGCCCCTGAAAATTCGCCCCCGGAATATTCGCCCCCAAGAAAACTCGCCCCCAAGTAAATTCGCCCCCGGACTATTCGCCCCAGAAAGATTCGCCCCGGAAAATTCGCCCCCAAGAAAACTCGCCCCCAAGTAAATTCGCCTCCGGACTATTCGCCTCCGTAAGATTCGCCCCGGAAAATTCGCCCCCGGCAAATTCGCCCCCGACAAATTCGCCCCCGGTGATTCCGTTCCCGTAGGATTCGCCCCATAAGATTTATTAATCCTTGGAGGTAACAAGGCCAGCAGTTCATAAAATGAATGTTGTTTAATTTTAATTTTTTTTGTAATAACTGTGTATATAAAGGGGGTAGAATAATAGCACTCAAATAGCTGTTAACTAAAATATGAATAGGTAATTAAGATAAGGTTGAATAAAGTAAATACAAAAATCTGAAAATCAAACTGACAACAGCAAAAAAGGAACTCTTATAGCATCAGTAATCCGTATTGTCATTTTTATACTTACATAATAATAGGACATTTTAAAACTTTTATGGCATTTGCACATTTTTTACCAAAATTCTCAAATTTAAGGCTGATCCGACGGGCTGAATTTGGAACGAGTACAAGAGTACCGTATAGCAGACTAATTACTACTTCACTTCACTACTAATTACTACTTCACTAATAAATATATAACTTTTTTTTATATTTTAAAGAAATGGGATGTTTCGAGTTAGATTTTTTTAGAATATTTTAATTATGATTTGATACTTCAGCAAACTTCATCAATGTTGGTTTTTTTCAACACAAATTTACATC